TGGGCTGCGTCCAGGTGCTACCGCAAGCATTAGAAATAACCGAGGTGTTATTTCTGCTGCTTCAGGGACTGCTGGCCCTGGGGACTTCCCCGTCAACCGACCTGGCACTGGGGGCATGATGCCTGGCATGCCAGGAGCTAGGAGAATGCCTGGGATGCCTGGAATTGATAATAACAATTGGGAGGCACCTAGAAACCGTTCAATGCCAAGGGGTGATGGTCTTGTGCAGCCTGCTGGACGTCTCCAACCACCAAGTTTTAACAAGTCAAGGTCAGTAAACACGAAGCTGTTACCGCAGGGCATTGGTGGTTTTATGAGTGGAAAGAGTACTGCCCCCTTGCAGGGACGTGGTGGTCCTCCATCTAGGCCAACCAACTTTCGTTTTGGTGCAGAGCCTCCTGCTCAAGCCCCTATACCTAGTAAAACTCTTCCTGCCCCTTATGTGCCTCCAGTTGCAAATAGGCCAGTTGTTCCAGCTTCCAGGGTGAATCCTGATGAACTTAGGAGAAAGACTCTCTCGCTCCTGAAAGAATATTTCAGTGTCTTGCTTCTGGATGAGGCATTGCAATGTGTGGAAGAGCTGAAGTCTCCAGCTTACCACCCTGAAGTTGTCAAGGAAGCTATCTCCATTGCATTAGAGGCAAATCCACCTCGAGTTGAACCAGTTTCCAAACTTCTGGAATATTTGTTTGCCAAGAAGGTCATCACAGTGGAAGACATAGGAACTGGGTGCTTACTCTATGGTTCTAAGCTGGATGATATTGGCATTGATTTGCCAAAGGCACCATATAATTTTGGTGAAATTACCGGGAAACTAGTTTTGGTGGGGGGATTGGACTTCAAAGTGGTAATAGAGGTCCTTAAGAAGATGGAGGATAACATGTACCAGAGAGCTGTATTTGATGCAGCAAAAAGCGTCATTAGTTCAAGTCCGGATGGGCAACTTGTATTAGATACTCTAGCATCCGATATTAAGGCTTGCCAGAGTTTGTTTTAGTTACGGTCTTACCATTCTGTTATGTGAGTACTTCAGCATCTGTATCCAACCTTTTGTCCTTACGTTTAGATCATGATGCTCCGCCGACACCATTTTGAGGGGAGCAACTTGTAATATGTGATAAGGTGGAGCTGCCAAGAACAATACATTGTTTGAGCTGTATATTTTTGCCAGAGGTTCTAGTAGGGCGTTATCGAAGAAAAGAAATCAAAGCATAACGCTGTTGATTTTGGTCTCGAGCATGGCTAAAGAAATGCCTTCAGCTCGAGAAGAATGGCCCTTCAAAAGATCCAGTTGTTTTTGTATTTCAATTTTTGCTCTCCGGACTGAGTAATTTAGTTTATTGTTTGAATTAATCAGCTCATAAATCCCACTTTCTACGTTAACTAATATCAACTTTTGTTCGTGGGCTGTTGTGTTCTCTGCTGTCCTTCAGTTTTGATGCTAGCCTGATTGCTGGTGCTGTATTTTTCACTTGGTTGATTACGTTGAGTGCAAGCTGCCATGGAGTTAAGAAGAGCACGATTTCGGCAAGGTTTGTAACGATTCATGCTATACAAGTCTTTGCCAAATGATCTTTCTTGAACCTCAATGATCTTTCTGCTAGGATTCAAACTTCAGAAGAAAGATTCAAACTTTAGAAATAACTTCGATAATTATTTAATTTTTTTGTTTAAAATTATTATTTTATATTTTTAAATTATTTTAATATGTTAATATTAAAATAATTTATTTAAAATTAAAAAAATATCATTTTAATAACTTTTTAAATAAAAAATACTTTAAACAGAACGACATTTCCGTCCCGTTTACTTTTGACGGCTCCGATCCGGTATGGATAGTGATTCCCTTAATAGGGACTGAAATCAATGGTCAAGAAAATCAATAATATGACGTAAAAGAGTGAGGATGTCCTTTTAATTTCAAAGATACTGTAAGGATTAGACTGACAATGATTCCACGCGAATGCTTGTCCTAAGAACTTGTCCAATGCCAAGTTTACAGTGTTTTTTTAAATCATAATTTGTTAAATTATTTTTTTATTTTAAACAATATTAAATTAATATTTTAAAATATTTATTTGAATTTTTTTAATGTGTTAATATCTATAATAAATAAATAAATAAATAATTATAAAAAATACTATTTTAATATATTTTTAATTAATTTTTTTTTAAATACCATCCGCTATATTACAAAACACTAACTTACTCACAATATTAGCGTCATTTAATATCTAAAGGTCCTTTGGCATTCCTCCCAAACCACCTTTTCATGAAATTTTATTTTTTATTTTAAATTAATATTTTGATATTTTCAAAATGTTTTAATCTGTTAATATTAAAACACATTTAAAAAAATTAAAAAATTATTATAATATATTTTCAAGAAAAAAATATTTTGAACTATAATTACAATCATGTTCTCAAATAAACCCTAAGTTAATTTTTCCTAGACTTGTGGTGTTAATAAAAAAATTAATTAATTCACCAAATTTAGATTTTAACTAATTCATTTTTCCACACCCCACCACAGGCCAAACCATTTAAAAAAAAAACATAAAACACAAGAGCACAAGGATTTTCTTGCATAGTGTTAAAAAAATAAATCTTTAAATCATTTAACTTGGATATTTACCTAGTGCAAACTTACAATTAAACTATATAAAAGCTAACTCAAAGTGATTTGATTTTATTTAAAAGGTTTAAAGGAAACGTGTATGATTATTTTTTATTTTAAAAAACAAATGTTAAACAATAAAATCAAGAAAAAAACAATAAGGTAACAAATAAAAAAGGATGTCAAGTCAAGTAAATTTTTCAAACCTGTAATTTGGGTTATTAAATCAAAAACACTATACATAAAAAAGTTATAAAACTCAATTTGCAGCAAATCTAATATTAAATGATGAATCATCACTATTATTATTGTAATTATTTATATTCTCATTGTTATTATTATCATTGCTACTGCTATTATTATTACTATTATTATTATTATTACCATCGTTATCACCACCACCACCACGATTACTATCATAATAAAAAATTATCATTACCATCATTATTAATATTATCATAATTTTCATTATCATTAGTAATATTAATAATAGTGTTAGTATCATTATCATTACTATTACTACTATTACTAAAATAAAAAATTATAAATTTGATTTGAAAGATAAAATTAAAAATCATAAAAACTTTGAGAAAAAGACAAGGAATAAAAAAAGAAATAAAGAAAAGGACCAGACTAAAATAAATATTATTATTATTGAAAAAAATCATAAATTTGATTTGAAAATTAAAATTAAAAATTATAAAAACTTTGATTAAATAGTCAAGGAAAAAAAGAAATAAAAAAACATCATATACACAAATTAGAATTAAATGACTAAATTAGAAATAAATAAAACTTTAATAAAACATAAAATAACTGAAATAAAATTAAAACTAAGAGGATGGATTCTAAAACACTAACAAAAATTAAGGATGATTTTAGTTTTTTGGAGGTATAAGAGAGAAATAAAAAGAAAAAAAACCATTAGCAATAAATTAATCATTTTCAGATGGAAATAAAAAGAAAAAAAAAAGAAAAAAATCATTAGCAATAAATTAATCATTTTCAGATGGCACACGCCACCTATAAATAAAGAGGACATGATAAAAAATAAAATAACACATCAAAAGCATGTTTTTTACCTATGGAAGACGCCGCTCGTGCCATAAACAATGCACGGTGCCTTTGTATTACTGGATCGTGCATAAAACATGCCAACAACTTTTTCAACAAAAAAATTAAATAAAAAATTACATTATTACCCCTGAAAAACCCAACAATTACAAAAAAAATCAACATGAAAATACAAATATACCCTTCTGACAATGGCTTAAAATTTTTAACTACAAGGTTAAATTTATAATTTTACTGTATATTAAAATATGAAATACTTAAAAAGATTCTTGATCAGAATTAAATGATTTTTTGTTTTTAAAGGTAACAAAATCATTTTATTATGCATAAATATGATAATAAAATTATTAAAGGTAACAAAATCATTTTATTATGCTGATAATAAAATAAAATATTTAGGCAATTATCAAATGATAAACTGACCAAATAATAAAAATACTATTTTACCCCTAAAAGGCAACAATCTGAGAGTATTTTTAATGGTTAAATCATCATTTTATTATTAAAATTCACATTAAACAAAGATATATTTGCAGTAAAAACACTGTGTCTTCTAGCTTTTCTTTTAATGAGAATCCACATTAAATTTTGAGAAGTTACCCATTAATTTGATAAATTAAAATGTGAAATGTCTGTAAAGATTTTTCACTAGAGTTAAATAATTTTTTACTTTTAAAGAAAAAAAAGTTATTTTATTATGCATAAACATGATAAAAAACAATAAAACTCTTGAATAATTATCAAATAACAAATTAAAAAAAAACCATTTTACTTATAAAAAAACAACATTTTAAGAGTTTTTTCAAGGGCCAAATTATCAATTCACCATTAAAATTCAGGATAAACAAAATCCATAGTAAAAACATGATGTATTTTAACTTTTCTTTCTTGAGAGTTCACATTAAATTTTAAGAAATCATTAAATGATTTGATATATTATTTATGATAATAAATTCAAGTAAGAATTTGATTTTGGTTGATAAATTTATTTGATATGTCTTTATTTAATAAACTAGATTTTAAATTGATACATTTATTCGATATGTCTTTATTTAATAAACTATTTTAAACTAATTCATGTAATAATTTTTTTTCTAAATTCTCTCCAGAAATTCTATTCAAGATTCCAAATTTTGTCAAATGCAAAACAAATCATAAAAAAACATTATATTTTATTTATTTTTTTCTTATGAAAAATAACACGAAACAAACCACTACATGAGCTTCCACCTCCTATAACATGAGCAAACTCAACTACAGAGCCGGAGATTCTCCCGCGTTAAGGAATTTTCAAAATACTTCAGAAAGAATGGCCTCTAGCCAACCAGCAACGGACACCAAAACGGCATCATCACAAACAGATGACCAGTCACTGAAGCTCGCCGTTGCAATCTCACTTCTCCGCTCAAAACTTCTCCAAAAACAGCCTCCCCCTCCCCCTCCCCCTCCCCCTCCCCCTCCCCCTCCCCCTCCCCCTCCCCCTCCCCCTCCCCCTCCCCCTCCCCCTCCCCCTCCCCCTCCCCCTCCCCCTCCTCCTAGCAATCCTCCTTCAGAATCCGACGCTCTTCGCTGGAAACGAAAGGTTTTTTCATCATCTCTATTCTCTGTTTGGTTCACTATAAAATGCAGACGTTTAAGTCAAAATGAATGCGATTAGGTTTTGAGAAAACAAACGGAGTATAATTGCTCCACTGTTGATTTCTATGTTTTTCTTGAAAGGCTAAAGAGCGAAAACGAGAACTTCTTCGACTGAGAGAAGATCTCAGGGAAGCCGAAGGTTCTAGAATATATTTCTCCCTCTCTTTCGGTTTAGGTTCTTGAATTTTGATCATGTTTCTGATTTTTTTTTTCTATTTTGTGTTCTAGATGCTTCACAATGTGATTTGTTTCCTCAAACTGCGTTATGCAAATGCTATTTCTTCGATAATTTGGGGAAATTAAGCCCTAAGCCAGTCGGAGACGGCTCCGATCGCAGATTTAACGATATTCTTCGCCGTCGATTTCTTAGACAGGGTCTCATTATGATTGACATACGATTTTCACTCTTAGGTTATTAATTAGTTTCACCAATCAATTAATTCAATAACTTGATTGGTTTTTGAATTTTGCAGTGCGGATAAAAGAAAGAAGGAAGAGAATAAATAATTCAAATATAAAACGACGCTTTTCAGGTTATTGGGCTTAATTGACTTTTTTTTCCCTCAAATTAGTGGCGTTTTGATTCAAATGTGCTTAATTGAGTTAAGTCCTGTTTATTGCTTTTCTTCTTGTTTATCCTTATGATTTCTTCTTCTTTTATTTGTTGCTTAATTTACTTAGATATTCGGAAATTTATAAAAAGAGAAAAATTCAAGTACTTTAGAGCAATGTGGGTGCACATTTAGACCTTTTCTTGTTACATTAATAATGGATGTTTTATTTATTATAAAATGGCAGATATATACAGCAAAAATGAAGCAGAGCAACTTAGGGCCGCCGTTGATTTTCTTGTGGAGCTTTGTGACACTACTTCGCCTGCAAGAGTGAATTATGTACTATTGTTTGGTGCTTTTATTTTGTTTTTTTTTTTTTTAATATTCTCACACTAACCATAAGACAACCATGTTACTTGGTTGAGTTATCTTTCAGGTTTTGATTCTACGTCTGTTAAATTTTGCAGGTAGAGGAGGCTAATTTTGCTAACTGGTCACACCAAGCTGCAGACTTCATTTTAGGTAATCACAGAGTACTTTTAGATCCCATTCCATAAGTATTAAAAATAATCACAATCAGCATTAGCATCTATCTCGACAGAGTAGTGTTTAATCTCCATGAAATAGCATTTTCTTGAATTTATAAGTACCTTGAACGGCATATTTATGGCTTTAAAATGCTTTTTGATTAGTATATTTTATTTTCTTCACATGAGTATTTGCAATTTTTTGACACTGAGATCAATAGAGATTTCTTTTCTTTTCATCGTCGTGACCTTCGATGCATGTGGAATAAGCTTAAAACATCTTCAGTTGACTTTTTTTTTTTTTGTTATTTTAGGAAGTCACAAAACCTACATATTAGTTCATAGCTGATTACTCCGTGGAAGTTATATGGTTGATCTTCTAGTAGAATATGGTAAGTGCTAGGATTTGGAAGGCAAGAACAATGAGAGGAATTTATAGACACCTTTCTGTTTATCTGGAACAGATATGTTAGTATATTAAGATGATTCAAATCCGATTTGAATAAGTGTGGAGTGTCCTAATCAGCGTTCTAATGAATTTGAACAGAATTCAACTCAGTTTGCCAGGCAGACCTTCAGATTTGTTATCATATTCAAGAGATTTATTTGGAATTTTGTTTTAGGATTTGGTGTTTGCTCTATTGCAAGTGAAGGAATTGTGATGGCAAATGAATCTACCATCTTTTCCTTATTTCAGGAAGGAGTTGGGTGCAATCCCATTGCTGCTGTTATATTGTGTAGATTGGTGATTTTGCTTAACTTTCACTAAGGAAAAAATGTGCAAACTGATTGGACATAATGCAGATGCAGATAGAAAGGGAAGTATTCTCGCTATCTATGCTATAATAGGTATAAGATATAACCTGGACTATTTAATGTTCTCAACCTAGTTAAACCTCATAAATTAAATTGAATGTGTCGATGCCATGAAACATGATGGTATTCTGGCTATATCCTGTATGAACTCATGCAAGCAGTTGGAAAAAGTAACATAGGATGAGGGGAGGAAGAGGTTGGATTTGTCCTAGGCAGTAGTAGCTGTCGATTAATTCAAGAGGAAGTTGCTATAGAGCAAAAGTGGGTTGCAGTGCTGTTAGAGGACATAATATCTCAAATTCTCAATGGATTGATTATTGGTTCTAAATGGTGCTAGTACCTTGAAAATGTTTCAAGTAAGTGATTCAGAGTAGTTAGTGATGGAGAACTTGTAATAAAATAAATTAAAATATGCCTATTTATTTTACTTGCCAATCTCCATCAGTTAGGTGCTAGCATTTGTTCAATCAAGTACCAGAAACAATCTGGCATTTGTTCGATTCAGTACAAGAAAGTTTTAGGTTCAAACATTAAAGTTTGAATATTTTCTTCTTTCTGTTTATTTATGTCTAGTGATGGACCGATAAGCTTCGCGTTATCTTTCTTTGTACGATTTCTCCTCGTTGATAGATTGGTTAGGGGCCATCATATCTACCCGCAATCACCACTTTGCTAATTTTTTCTCCTGTTTCTTACGCTATTTTCAGTTTTAATCTTCTCCCTTTCTCTTGTAGCATCATTGAGGAACCTGTTATCAATAGGAAATAACATGGAGCTCATTGAAGGAATTGTCAGTCGCTTAATTGTGCGTTTAGTTAAAAGGATGTGTTCCCCTTCAGATGAAGATGGTAAGCATTTGGCTGCTTTTGGGACTTAAGATGTATTAAATCTTAATAAATGCAAATGGTGTTTAAACAGTAGGAACTTTGATTTTTTTTCAACCTCTCTTTTATTTGAACTAAACTCTTGATTTCTTTACTAACAAAACTGTAAGAACACAATGTTTTGGTCTGTTCCAATGAGTGATACTATAGGTTGTTTTATATTATTGTAGTTTTGGCTTGTTAATGAGTTCTTCCTGTTAATATCTTGATATGCTGTTACAGAGTCACGTCAAACTGACACTGACACCCAGTTCTGTATTCAACAATTGATCCGCAAGCTTGGATGTGAACCTCACATTGGGCAGCGAGCAATACTTTCAGTTTCTCAGAGAATTTCCATGGTAGCAGAAAATTTGTTATTCTTGGATCCATTCGATGAGGCCTTTTCAAACATGCATGAGTGCTTGTTCATAATGTAAGTAATCGATGGTAAGATTCACAATCATGATCATCAATTCCAACCCAAAACCTAACCGTTTCTTCAAAACTAAGTCCATTGAAAGGCCAAAGCCTGTTAATTTGAGCTTGGAAACAGCATATTATTATGAGATGCTAATCCGTGCATAATTTCTACTGGCTCTACTTATCCATCATGTCTTATCATCAGACATGTCTTTGAGGATATGCGATCTCATTTTGAGTTGTACTTTCATTACTATGGAAATGCCATAGTGGTTCTTCCATATAGAACTCAGATGCAAGTATAAGTTGGTTTTATTTATCCTATGATTACCATTATTATTTTAACTTTTTGTGGATGACAGGATCCAGCTTATTGAGTTTTTGATATCAGACTACTTGTTAACTTGGTCGAGGGACGAGGGCTTTGACCATGGTATTTATACTTAACAGGACTGGTGCCTGTTGATTAAACTTTCCCGTTCATTTCGCACTCTGTTTTCATGCTAGGTTTTTTACAATTAATATTTCTCTAAAGCTGGATCTGAATTTAATATATTATCAGCATTGAACATTGTTATTACACTCCTCTTTATTGGGTTCAAGATCAAAGTTTATTAGCAGGGATCAGAAACCATACACATGACATCCGATAGTTTCATTGCAGTGCTGTTTGAAGAGTGGGTGACCTCAGTTCTCCATGCTCGCAAAGCATTGGAGCTTCTTGAGAGCAGAAATGGGCTTTATGTTTTGTACATGGATCGAGTCACAGGTGAACTGGCTAAACATGTGGGCCAGGTTTCATCATTTCAGAAACTCAGCCAAGATATTCTTGACAATCTATTCTGCTGACGAAAGCGTGAATTCTTTAAGATATTCTTTAAGGAGTATGCTTAACAACAGACTAGGAAGCCGTTTGCCTATCTAAGATCCAAATAAAGCCGACTTCTGGAAGCATTGTATTTGAACAGATAGACGGAAAGATTTTATGCAATTAAGAATCATCTTCATTTTCGGCGCTTTCGTAGTTTATTGACACTTCATCGCTGCCTGGGTAGTCAATAGTTGACACCAGCATCAGTGATAATCCTCCATCCTAGCTTCATTTCGAGTCTAGTCTGCTTAGGTAATGAGGGCATTTCACCCCATGGATTTTATTGGTCGGGGTATCCTGTAGAAACTTCGAAGCTAGGGCTTAGGATAAAGAGGTCTTAGCTTAATTTCTCTCCTGACATGTGATCTATGACTCTGTTCTGCCTTTTCTGATCATGAAATCAAACGTAGTAAAATCATGCTCTTCCATGTTCCCTCTTCTTTCCGGAAAGTGATCCCTTATTTAAGGCCGTCTATCCTTGCCTCTCTTACTAATGGTATCGACCTCCTGGGCTGTTGTCGGTATTTTTCCACCGGCATCCACGTGTAGTGGCACTTTACAAGTCGGCAGCATTATTCTTTTCACTAATCCGATTGTCATAAATATCACTTTGGGCCCACCTCAACCACCAAAACTTGTTAATTACTGAAGGGGGAGATATTTTAAAGATCCATCATATCTCCTCCTTAATTACATGGTTCGTGGAGGTCCATTGGGCAACAGATATCATAGCTACTTTTGCTCAGAAGACATGACGCAAATGAGACATGTATTCACTCTCCTGCTCTTCAGCCTCCTCTTGCTTTCTCAATCCCTTCCAGGTTCAGCTGTCGGCAGGCAATTGGATAAAGCTCTTACCAAGTCCCAGCTGCCTCAGGGAAGACAAAATGACGTGATCAGTTCATTGCGGGCTCGGAAGTTAGGAGTTTACATCAGAAAAAAGGCTCGTGTTTATCCACGCACTGGTCGCAAATCATCTGCTATCCGAACCCAGGTTCCTTCCAGCCATGTGATTGGTTCTGTGCTTGCCTTCCTCAGTTTCTTCCTGCTCTAGGTCTTGTTATGGTTAATCGTCCAATTTGTTGAAGTTGATTGTTCAATGGTCCTCATATCGAGTGGCTTTACACCAAGTAGTGCTTAATCATATTTCAAAAAGGATGTCTCTTTTTTATGTTTGCGTGTGCCTTGTGTTTTATTTAGCATATCGTCTTAACACAACTCAAAAGTATTTGCATAGACAGAGAAGCTGGTAGTAATAGGGAGTTGCTTTTAGTAATACCTGGGCTGCTATTTTTCTTCAACCATGCAGTGGATACATGTATTTTCACATCTGATGTCCATGTGACTAGGGTTCCTGTGTAAGACAACGTGACAACGTTGTCAAGAATATAAAATATTACCCTATGTTTGCGTATCAGGTGTAGCGGATTGCCTTTGAGCTTTGGCTAACCACCTTTATATATATAAATGGAGGCATGGGGCCTAGTATTAATACTTATCTTCTTGTTTTGGACGAAGATACATATCTGGGGGTCTAAGTCATGCTTTTCTTGTAGCATTGAGTGTGACATTAGCTAATGGGATAAGAACTGTCTAATCAGCCTGAGTATGATGAATACTGTAACCGGCTCTTGTTTTTTATGCCTGAGTATGATGAATACTGTAACCGGCGGCTCTTGTTTTTTTATGTGTATGCATGTACACACATGTTAGTATTTTTAGGAGGTTTGGAAGTGTGTAGATGATATTTTTTAAAATATTTTTATTTTAAAATATTTTAAAACAATATTATTTAAAAAAGATATTTTTAAAATTACCGAATAAAACAATTTAAAATTTAATTTTTAGTAAAAAAAAAATTAATTTAAAATTTAATTTTTAGTAAAAAAAATAAATTTTTTAAAAATAGAATGGACTGTCTTTTCAAACTTTTGCTTACGTGTCCAGCAAATTGGGCATGCCTTGAGGAATTGGTGAAGGGGTGATGATAAGCTTGCCTGTTTGTATAATGCAATGGAAATATGATATAAAGTTGTTGAATACAGCAAAGCCTCCTGTTATATTGGGTTTTTAAAATTGCAGGTGGGTTTTAAAATTTTTTATTATTATTACTCATATTTTTTAATTATCTTAATATATTAATATTAAAAATAATTTTTTAATATATTTTTAAATGAATAATACTTTTAAAAATCTTGCTATAATTCCAAATATACGCAATTAGATATATTATGATATTTCATCCTTGGGAAACAACATCCGGAGGTCTTTTCTGTTACTTGACATTTGTTCAGGGCGACAGCTTTAAGGAATCTGGGTCTTATAAAAATTTAATTTTCTCAAAACTTCCAATTTTAAATGGCCTTCCAGCGGCTAAATATCAGAGCGATACATGCAAAATCCACCAGCATATGCCCCACTATTGATATTAATCTTTTAGGCATCTAAAAAGAATAAATGAAAAAGGAAAATTCAAAACAAAAAATGCTTTAAGAAAAAAACATTTAGCGCTTTCCGACACTGCCTTCAAATCCGTCGAACTGGTTTTTATATATATTTTTTATTTATTTATATGGATGTGTGGATTAGTTTAGTGTATTATAATTAATTTTATAATTTATTAAATATTTTGTAAGTTTAATAAATATATAAGACATATAAATGATAACCATGTACAATAAAACTCGAACTCGGATCTAGAGAAAAAAAATAAATTCCTCCCACCAATAGAATAATAGCTCGAGTGCATTCTTACATTTCTTTCATACCAAGATATTACTTGATGTATGCAAGTCAAAGTACTTTTACCCGTCAATTCAACAAGCCGAAATCAAAATAAAAGTAAGTGATATCTATATAATAGAAAAATCATTTCCTTTAGCGTATTAATTTTGTGTTTAACATCAACTATACAGCACAAATGATGATCATATTGCAAAATAAAAATTAATTATGCTTGCAGATGACGTGCATCAAGGAGTAGGTTTCCAAGGACATGCAAAAGTAGTTTATGGTGGTGGAGATCTCCTTCGTCCTTGTACAGGCCCCCGAAAGGGGGCAAGCTCTTTACTGTTGAGACCCTCTTCCATCTTCTCCACCTTATCCGGACATGTTGCAGTTTGATTAATCATCTTTGTTTTCTATGGCGTGCTAGGAAGTATGACTATAATTACTATTTAAAGTATTTTTTATTTAAAAATAGATTAAAAATATATTTTATTTTATTTTTTAAAAATTATTTTTAAAATGAGCATATTAAAATAATAAATTAAATTAAAAAATTAAATTTTAGCTAAAAAAATCAAAAATTTAAATTTTTTAAAAACACGAGTTTACTTACTTTTCTAAACGGTTTGTAATTTGAATGTCAGCTACCATGGCATGTGAGACATGATACAGTTCTTATTTATTAGTAGGATTTCAACCGAGTGTTGAAAATAGTATGACGAATATCAATGAACAAGAACTTTGAAGGTTAAATATTTAGTGTTTTTAACAATTATTATAAGAGTTATGTGTTAATTAATATTAGAGCCCAACAATCCTAAATTATTGCTTGCTATGTGCTGCAATCCCAAGTTATTTTGTTTGTTGTGCTGCTAAATAATTATGGCAAGAAGAGGTCACAAAACAGAACGCGTTCAAGTAAGGGAGGATAAAGAGATTTTCTTTGGGAGAGATGTTTAGGAGATGATGATAAAAGACATGCAAAGATGGATTGTAGAATTAAAAAGAGATATTCAATAACTTGTGATAAAAGACATGTGGAGATAAATTTCAAAATTAACCCGTCAATTGATGGAAGTGAGAAGTCTAAAATATATTGATGGAAGTGAGAAGTCTAAAATATTGTTATAAGAGTGATCATGAATCCGTGACGAGATAACTTATTGACTAAGATATGTATTGTGAATATTTTAGGGATCACATTTATGATGAGATATATATGGATTGGTGTTCTACACCAATTTATAATGATTATTTTGTTGTTGATGATGATATCATAAACAATAATAGTAATAGTAATCATGATATCATTAATGATATATTTGTTGATAAAATAAAGGTTGAGTGCAAAGAAAACATGAAAGGTGCTTAAGAAAAAAATTATTGATATAAACTATATTTATCCTTTTAATTACAAAATTAATGTATTATAAAAGTAAATGTATTTAAGGGTTATGTGGATACAATAATTATTAGTAAAGAAAATTTGAGGTTTGAAATTTATTACTTTAAAAGCTAATAAAAGATTAATAATTCATCAATTATTGTTTCGTATATAAATTTTATTTTAAATTTTAAAATGAAGGGACTAAAATTGATGTTTAAAATTATTATGTACTTGAAGCAAAAGGATAAAAAGGAATAAGAAGCCTTTATTGAACATCCACGTGATCAAGGCAAGACCAATTTGAAATTGATGATGAGTTTTTTTCAATCCAAAAAGACTAATACATGAGATTTTTTCTAATACATAGCTTTATATTATTAGGCATAATGCTTCATCCAACCATTAAATTTGACTAAAATTTTTCTAAAATATTCTAAAGACCATGTTTCCTATAGGGTTTAAAGTTGTCAATGATTAAAGATTGGGAAGGCCCTTTGATAATGCTTAGAAGTTACTTTTTAAGATATGTTATATTTTTCTAGTTGATTAAGGATTCTTTTTTGTATTTGGATTTAAACTCTTTTATTATTATTTTAAACTTTTTTAGGACTTTTTTCCCTAGTTTGTTTAGAAATTTTATAGTTTTTCCTTTATATTTAAGTTTTCTTATTGGTTCAAAAAAGTTTTTAATTTTATTTAAGGATCTGTAAACCTTTTAAAGAGGTAGACTACCTGAAGAGAAAATATCAAGTAATAAAATTTTGAATTGCAGTTTTTATATGATCCTTATTCAGTATAATTTTGTATTCTTGTGCTTGTTATATTTCTTATATTGCTTCCATCTATGTCAATTGATATAAGAGCTTTGCAATGATTTGATTTCAACATTCTTTAACATACTCTTAATTTTGAAAGATATGATATCAAACTTCTTCTTTTTTTTAATTTTTCTTCTTGGTTTGATTTATTTCTTGCACATTCACTTACTATAGAACTTTGTTTTCGACAACATCCTAAACATTAATATACTTAAAGAAAGATTGAATATGAACATTGAGCAATCTATAAATTCTATATTAGAACCCATCATTTTAATTGAATGGTTATGATACTAATTGTTGGAAACATTAAATCCAAGCATTGATACCAATTGTTACGAACACCAAGCACACAAAAATTGGTTAATCAGATGAAAGCAAATGAAGAAAAGATGACATATCTCCTAATTATAGAGAAAATTATTTGAAAACTAACACTTCATTTTGAGTAAATGTAGCAACTATTGAAGAATCAAAAGATTTGAGTGGGATGTTAGCTGGTGAATTGCAAGGTTTATTAGCAGCTTATAAGCATCACTTGAATTTAAAGAATTTTATGGTAGCCATTGAAAAAGAATTTCAATATTAGCTCAACATGATGACCAAAGAGAAAATATTAAACAAGATTAAGCACTACCAATGTGGTCACGGTTGCAGAAGTGGAAGAAATAACAGATTTGATTAGCAACAAGGATATAAAAACTTCAAATAATAGAGGTGGATGAGATTCAATTAAGCATGACAAGTCATGGATTCAATTCCAAAAATTCTAGAAGTAAGGTCATTATAAAAAGATTGTAAGTCTTATATTCAACGTCATTACTGCAAAAGGTTTGATCATTATTAATATAAGTGTCAACTTAAAAACTTAAATAATGAGAAGGTACATGTAAAATTTATGAAGACTAATAAAAATACATCCGCGACTTTGTTTTTTTCAAGTCATAATATAGAAAAAAAAGAAAAAATGTCTTTAGAAGAGACTTGTTATATGAACAAGAAAAATCAAGTATGGTATTAAGACACTCCCGTGACTTAAAAACTAGAATTTATAACCGAGGAAGACAAATTATAAAATTAATAAGGAAAAATATGAAATTGAATGAGAGTTGAATGATGAAAATAAAAAACTACGAAAGGAAGTTAAACGTATAGCTATGAATAGAGAAGTTGTTTTTAGATTGCTCAAAGATAAATGTGATAACTTTAAACTAAAAAAGAAAGCAATACAAGATCACTATAAGCAAGATGTTGAGTCATTTAATCGTAAACATAAAGATTTCAAGAATAAAAGGGAGAAATAAAGCTCTAAATGGTTCAAAAGGACTCAAAAGAAACATGTAGACTTTTTGTTGGATATTAAGATATAGAAAAAAGAACTAGAGAGAAGTATTGATAAAATTTATGAATATATAAAAAGCTATTTATTGAATAAAGGGAAATCATTTGAGCGAGAAAAAAAGAGGCTTGCTTCAACATGGTGCT